CCCTCGGCTCCCCTCCCTCCTCACAGCCGCCGCCATGTTGGGCCGGGAGCCGCAGCGGGGCCGCCACTGAGCCCCGGAGCCTGCGAGGAGGATCGGAGGAGGAGCCCGGTCCCGGCCGCCCGCAGAGCCCAGCGCCGGCCGCCCAGCCGCAGCCATGGCGGAGCAGACCTACTCCTGGTGAGCCGCGGGGCCGAGGCCGCGGGGCCGCCGGGCCGGGCCGAGCGCGGCCCCACGCGGGGACGGGGACCGGGCGGGGGCAGCGGCTGGGGCTGCGGCGGGGCCGGGGCACGGAGGGGCGCGCTGGTGGAGGGGCCGCGGGCTGAGGGCTCGGCGCGGCTGAGGAGGAGGGATTGGGGGACAGGAGGAGGGACGGGGCGGCCGGGCTGTGCGGATCCCCCCCGCCGGCAGCCGGGCAGCAGGACGGGATCGCCGGGAGCGCTGGCGAGGTTGTCACCCCCTGTCCCGGAGGGCTCCGTGCGAGCTCATCTCTGCACGGCCGGCGCCGCCGTCCGCCGGGCCTGGAGAGGGACAGGAGCTCGTTCACGGCTCTGAGGCTGCAGGTCACCTCTGCCTAAGGGGAGATTTATGCCAGCGCAGGCTGGTAAATCGGTGGCATGTGTGTGTGTTTTCACCTAGCGACAATAGGCTTGGTCTGTGTACAGGAAATAGAACGACGAGGAACAGACCAGTTCCTGTGGAAAGACATGAAGTATAGCAAATGAGAGGGCATTTTTTTCTGTGTCCTGACACTGTCTCGGGCCTAGCTGGCAGTGGATCAAAGAGACGAAGTGCAGTTTCTTCCTATAAATCTGGGGGTTTTGTTCTGTTGTGGATCACAGCCAAAATACCTCAAATAATTTACCTGCGCATCATCTCTATTGACCTGACCACTGCAGCAATTTATTGTGATAGTCTCACTGCATTTTAAATCCAGTGATGTCATCCAGAGCTGTTTCTTAGATTTTTTGAATAAAGCTACTTGTTTTGAAATAAGTCCCTTATTAAAAAAGGAGTTAAGTCTTAGTTTTTGACCTTGGTGTGTACTGAATGTGGAGAAGGGTTTGAACATGCAACAAATATCCCTGTTCTGAATGGTCCCATTACTTTTCGAAACTTGGAACCCTGTGGGGATTTCTGTTCTGCCGCATGTTGAGACTTTGTCAGCCCCTTTTTCCCTCTCTTGTCTCTTCTCTGTCAAGAACCAACATTTGTATCAGTCTTCTGCTTTTTAGATGCTCTTATTTTGTTTCACAAGCTCAGTTCAGGCAGTGGTCTGGTCTGCTTTAAAATAGCAGTGAAAGGACAACTCTTTTGACTTAAAAGAGCATTTACATATTGACACAGTAAATGAATATTGGTACAGATTTAGGCAGTTTAATGTAGTTCAATTAAATGTGTCTTAGTGTGTTTTAATTGCAGAACGAAATTATAAATTCATAAACTCTTGGATTTGTCAGCTTTCTGGAAAGAAGTAAATGAAACAAAATATCAGTTATACATGATTTTGATCTTAACTCATTTGCTTTTTTGAATGAGTGTTTTTGCAATAGTAATAGTCTAAAGGGAGGATTTTTAACAGAGGCTGAGAGAGGATTTAATCTTCTGCAGGTTGCATATTTTAAGGGAATGAAATTGCGATTTAAAGTGTTCACTGTGCTAGGTGGATCTGAAGAATGGAAGTTCTTTCTCACAGTACTGAGATTGTAGAATGAGGACGTGATGCTTAAAACTATAATTTTAGGTCTGTATTCTCTGTGGTGTCCTCATGAACCTGAGGTTTCTGTCACTTTGCATTTTTACCTGTACTCGGCCTTGCCTGGGAGCTATGGGAGCAGTGGACAGAGCAAAAATCCAATTTCAGTCATGCTCTCTTCTCTGTGGGTATTTTATTACTTATACTTCTAACAACAGTTTTGCCTCAGTTTACTTACAGTTGTGGTGATCAGCTCAGCATAAAATGGACCAGTGCTTTAGCATTTTTAGGACAAGTGTTCATTTTGTCACCTGAGGAGGCTGGTGCTCCTGTGCAGCAGAGCTGTGCCCTGGAGCTGGTGCAGGAGCTCTGTTTGGAAGTTGGCTGATCCCATCCTGTCCACTTGGCAGACCTGGTCCTTTCTCTGGGTTACAAAGGCAGCTTTCCAAGAGCAGGTGTGTTCTGTGGTGCAGTGTCCAGCTGCTGTGCACATCCCTTATTTCACAACTGAAAATGCATCATCTGGCATTAAGAAAAATCCTTTCGGGCCCCTGTCTCTGCATGGATGTAAATTGGTTCCCAGCTGCAGTAGCACTTCCCTTTTGTCCAAGTGCATAAGGCTTGGTTCCATCTTTTTGTCCTTAACTGTCTGCATGTGTTGTTGAACCACTGTAGCTTCACAAGGTATGATAAAAGCTTATTGTGGGATTGATTTTTTGGAAAAAAAAAAAGTCTCAGTTGTGTTAAAAATACTTTGAAAAAAGGTACTTGCCAGCTGTGATTAGTGGACATGAGCATTGGCAAACATGAAAAATAGGGCTTATTTCAGTGACTGACAGTCTTGGTAATGATGCTGTTTTCAAGAGATGAGAACTAATTCTCATATTGCTTTATTCATTAGTTTGTACATATGAATCTGAGTTTTTTAAGGTAGGTTTACATATTTGTTTTAAATTCCAAGTGAACTGAATGCAATTACTTTCTTTTATTAAGATACTATAAGAAGAAAAGACTAAAGCTTTCCCCCCATCTCTTTCATAGTTTTAAATACATGAGCTATCTTTTGACAGTGTTCTTGTAAGATATTTCTTCTGACAACTTCTTTTCTTCAGTAGTGCCCACACCTATAACCATATGTACTTTTATTTAACTCTTTTTAAGTGTCTTAAGTTGTCTTGCTGAGCCAGTATTTCAGATAGAGGTGTCTTATCCTGAAAGGAGGCTCTGCTGAGAATTTTGCTGGTGAAAAAGAGTACTGTCATCCTGGAAAAACTAATTTTAATGTGAAATGTGGGATAAATCCCAGATGGAAATACTCTTTCAAAGAATATGGACTTTTTAAAAAGAAAGGGTGTTTAAATCAAATGCTTGTCAGTGGCGAATAGAGAAACTTTCTTTGTCAAGTTCCTGCAAAAATAAAAGGAGAGGAGAGCTGTGTACCATAGTGCTGCATGGCAAGGTTGCTCATGATTTTGTAGATTAAATAAGAGCTAAAATTAGTTTTCTGCAAGTGGAATAGAATGGGAGAGGAAAGAGGTTGTTGAATACCCATTTTCCCCTTGCTTCCTGTCTGTGCTCCAGCAAGGAAGTGGAACTGGTAGTGACAAAAGTTTCTGCTATAGCAGAGGGAATAAGTATGGACAGAGCAGTATATATGTGTGTGTGTGTGTGTGTGTGTAAGAGATTAGTAAATACCAGGAAATTTATCTTCAGGCACCAAGCTGTTGGAAGTATGACAGCAGATGAGTATGGAAGCAGCAAGACATAGATCATTACTTTGCAAAACACTTGGTCTGTCCTTAATTTCTAGCATTTTGTGGTGAATTTGTTGTGCTGCAGCCTATTGGGAAGGCACAGCACCATTCGTATCTTGTTTATCTTCAGTTAGTAGGTGTTTAGTGTTTTTCAAGGCCTGATGTAACACCCCCTTCCTTTTTACTGCGGCCTAGGCTGGCAATAGAGATTGCTTTGTTCTTTTTTTGCCCTTTGAATGCACAAAAGATTTTCACAGCTTCCTTCATTGGTGAAGAGCGAAGAAGGGGATTTCTACACCCAAATCAAATGTATTTTTAATATTTCCTTTCCAAGAGTGTTGTATACAAGTAATGTGGATTGCCATGCAGTGTGCATGCCCTCTCAGGGTGGTGATTAGGAGACAGACTGGGAGGGCAAGCTAAGAACAAAAGAAGAAGGCACTGTATTGAGTCACTAATCTTAAGAACAACTGAACTCCCTCTTAAATGTTATAATCACTGGGATGATTCTTGTATTAGCTATCAAATGTTTCATGAGTGAAATGATATATTTAGAAGCTTCTCTTCATAATGCAAAGGGTGTAGAAATTAAATCTAATGATGTGTCAGAGTAATCAATAAAACTACTGGGTTTTGGAATAAGTGTAAATGTACAGTGCTGTCTTTGCTCCTGGGAGAATTCAAATTGGTGTTAGAAGTCTTTCTGAATTCAGAGGTCTGAGAATTTGCTTTGATTGCAATTAAGCATTTAACATGCTGCTGCCATGAATTAAAATGCAGTTTCTTCCAGAAGACTCAGGTGGTGCTTTCAAGTCTTAGCTGGCTGGATTAGATGTGTATGTGGGAGGGCAGGGAGTAAGAGGAGCTACAGCTTGTTGACAGAACTTGTCAAGTACTAGTAAAATAATTTTTTTGCATTCAAGATTTTTTACTTGTTTGCTTAGTTTAGTCTGGGAGACCTTAATTGACTAATTAAGGTGTTCTGAGGATGGGAGGCAGTTTACAACAGAAAACAAATAATTCACCTGAATTTTTAAAATTCTGCACTTGATAGGCAGCAGATTGCAAAGCACATAGATGAAATTCTGTTGTGCTCCTGTCAAAAATCTGTCACAAAATCCTGGCATGCAGACGTGGAGTTTGGCCCTTAATGTTGCATTTTTCAGGAACTGAAATTACCGGCCACATTCCATTTTAAGGATTGTAAGGAACCTCCTGAGAACAAGGATGTCATTGTATGAATGTGCTTGAATATCTAGCATGAGAAAAGTGTCTTAAACCTCAGTAAACTTGAGAATATCAAGTTTAGAGTTCATATGTTTGTCTTTCAGGAATAGTCTCACTTCACTTATTTGTTACCCTCCCTGGAGCTTTTGCTATCTCAAGCTGTGTGTCATGTAGACAGGGCACTGTCTACAGCACTGGGCTGAAAGACAAATAAAGCAAAGAGCATGGCATTAGTAGAAGTTTACAGTAACTTGAATGCACGTGTGTATAGTGACTGATTAGCACAAGGAAAAAAATCCTCCTGTCAGTGTTTGCTAATTGCAAGGCTTTATTTACTAATATATTAATAATTCTTTAAGAAAAAAATTTAAAGTGAAGAACAGAAATCAGTGTTCTCTTGGTGCTGGTGTGCAGTACCTCTTTTAATTAAGATTTCTGTCAGTTCTGCATTTAACCTTTTCAGGTACTGTGGTTGTACAAGTTAATGGTTCCTTTAGTTTTAC